TGCCGTCCCTGGTGTTTGCAGGTGTTTCCGGGGGTGAAGGCCAGCTGTACATATGGTTTTGTTTGTCCTCGTTCTGGCCTGGCTGGTTTTTGCTAGGATTCTTCCCCAGGCAAGTCAGGGAGGAAGCCACCTTAATTAGGGAGAGGTGGGCAGGTATAACCATCCATCTGAATGTTTGGCTTGAGGGTGTGGAGTCATTTTTGTTAGGAAGAAGACACTGAGGAGGGAGTCAGCTATCACCTTAAGGTCATCTAGGTGAAATATCCTGTTCTTCTGAGCACCCTGCTAATCACGCAGCAGCACACGTGACACCAGAAAGCCTCTCCAAAGGCTGCTCTTCAGCCTAAGCCCTCCATCATCCTTATGTGTTAAATAAAAGTAGCACTATTAGCACTGACCAGAGAGGCTGCAAACTCCTTCAATCCCAACTTTTATCTGTACAGCAGGGTGCAACATCAGCAGAGAATACTACACAGCCAGAATTTCTCCTAAACCACAAGCAATACTAAGCCAGCAAACAACTGGGAAAAGCAGAACATGTGCAACAATAGCCTGAAAACTGATGCAATTTTAGGTGCTGTTTGTTTCCCTCTGCCTACTTCATTGCTCCATTTTTGTTTAGTTGGATTGGTTTCAAGAAAAATAGAAACATGCCCTTTGGGATCACTGAAAACTAAGAGCAATGAAGTAAATACCAGCTAGACTGGCTGATAAGCCAAACTGTTAGCAACAACCAAAGAAGGTGGCTTTAATTTTGACCTGTTGATTTATTACTCCATGGCACTGCAGAACAAAGTATTGGGAAGCCCTGTAGAGAAAAGGAAGAAAAATAGCGTGCCACAGCCAACAGCAAGCTGTATCACCACCTTTCAAAACAGAAGGAAAGCTTATTTCTTGCAAATACTGTCTCCTGCCGAAGTGGCATTGAGGCTGGTTGCAAATCCAGTGCCTGCAAGCAGTGACCCAAACCTACTGCAGGTGACAATCCCAGCAGCCATGTCATGCTCTTGGAAGTGCCGTCACCAAGGCCTTTGACTCTCTGTTCTGATTTGTACTCTGCCTTATCATGAGTGTTGAAGACCTTGGTGACATCGCTGGACAGAGATGTAACAAGTGTTGGGAAGGAGAGGGCAGCTGGCACCTGCCTGCAAAATTGATTATGTTAAGGTATGCGTGTGCCTGCACGTAGATTTCACTGCTCAGGGCTTGCTGAACGTGGCCACAGGACAGCAGCACCCATACAGCGTGATAGCTGCCTGTGCTGAACTCCCTTGCACCATTGGTTAGTACTTGATCCTGGCCAGAAAACGTGCCAGATGAAGCAAAGGTGGGCTGTTCCCTTCTGGTAACACATTCCTGTCTCTCTGCCAGAGAGATGTTCTGGAGCTCAGAGCAGCAGAGAACAGGAGTCACTCCTCAAGCTCCTGGACAATCTTGTTATGAGCAGCTACCTCTCATCTCATCAAAAGGTGACTGAGACATAAAGCCTGTCAGTGTGAGTGCACAACACTGCCTTAACAAAACCTGGGTGTCCTAACTCGTTTTTAACCAAGACACTGACTCGCAGGCACCTGTGTAAGCACCCTGCTATCTTCCACACGTCTCCCTTCCCCAGGGTTCAGCGTATGCCTAATTTCAAATCAAGCAATATTAACTGTCACACCTTGAACACTGGTTTATGAGGGTTGTTTTAAACAAGCTTGAAATGAAATGATTTTGGTAGATTCAAACATCTGAAACTAAATACAGACATGCACGCTTTGCATGACTAGCATTAGAACAAAATCTATACCACAGCTGCCATTTGTGTGCTAGTGGAAGATCATGTCCTGAAGCCTGTTTCAAAGCCAGGAGGCAGCCATGGGAAGCAAACATGGGAGCAGGACATCACACCAGCATAAGGGTATGCAGAGACTCCACAAACAGGGAGCATAAAACATACAGGGAAACATGAGCTGCAAAGCTGCATCTGTCTGGACCACATGGCTTCAGGTCCAGGCCAGAGCTGGGCCAGAGGTGGTATTACAAATGTTTCCAATTATTAGCTCATAAGGTATTCAGCCTTCCTGCTAATTGGCGAAATACATGTATAAAGGCAGTGCTTTTGGATTTGGAGGTGTGCTTATACCTGACATCTACTCCTACTGTCATCTTACGTTTCCAGCCACTGGACAAAATGCCCCTGAAAGGAAAGCGTTTAAGCATCTCTCAAACCCCACTGTCCACAATAGCTGAAGGCCTGACATGTAGTTCCTTTCCTTGCACAGGAATTAAGCACTGCTAAGCACAAATACACAAGTACTTGTAAGAACAGAAGATGCTGCTTTATGCATGCTGTCAGAGAATGAATCAGCAGCCAAGTAGTGGGCAGCAAGGACCCTCAAAGATGAAGGCTTTGTGTAAATGAGCATTATCATGAAAAGGACAAACAGGCTTTGTTCTCTATAAGCCTTACCAACAATGGGCACTCTGTCATCCTAATGGAGAGATATGATTTTTTTTATTACACATTTGAAATGTTTTATTATACAAATACAATCTTTGATGACTGAGTCTGAGGCATATTTTTGCAGCCAGTCTGCTAGTCTTTATAGTATAGAGAAATATGAGCCTTCTGACTTTCAACTTGTACAATACTCTTTATGCAAGATGCTTCTCGGAATCACTCCTCCCCCTCAAACCTTCCCCGCAATTAGAGTTTCAGTTTATGGCTTCAATATGTTTTCTTGTAAATACCCATGCCTGATGTTCAATGCACTTTTCAATATAAAACACCAGTATCTACTCTCTTTGGAAGAGTTCACTAGCAGGTATTACTGCAGTCATGAAGTATAAAATCCAGTAACAAAAGTATATGTAATTCTGACAAACTAAGATCTCCATGAAAAAACAGCATTAAACCTCTCTTTGGGAAATAGTAATCTTAGCTCACTTTGGCTGTGTTCATTATGCATCTATTTCTGTGCAAAGTGTTTGTTCTGCATGTGCTCCCCTTTAAACTGCTGCATATTTAGGTAAAAGCATGATGATGCCACTTAAACAAGGGGAACCCAGCATAATGGGTATTTAGCCCAGCAAAGAAGAGGGTAACTTATGTGTAAGTGAAAATATAAGCTTATGCTCAAAAGTCAGTAGACCTGCAGATCTGATCACATCAGGATTCTGCACAGCTCTGAAGAGAGAAAGGTTATATATCCAAGCCAAATCCCTTGCACAATTTCTGTCTGTGCATACAGCCAGCAAACATCTGCCAACGTAACACTAGCAATACAGATTATTTCAAAGTGACCTGCGATGTACTGAGCAGCACAAGAAAGGATGTAAAAACTTACTATCTCTGCTTTAAAAGCATGCTCAGGGCACATCAGACATTAAACTATTCACATTACACCAGGTCAGATATTTTTCTTCCTGGAGCCTGCCTAAGCCATGCCCAAATGAAGAGAGCTCGGAAAACCACAAAGCCAGGGACAGCTTTCACAAAATGCTAAAGTACCACTACATTCAAAGAGCTCCATGTGCCTGGATAGAGACTCTATGTGCCTGCATAGAGACTGTAGGTGAGGACACTTGATGGCTGTGTTCCCATCTCTTTCTCTGATGCACTTCTTTCTAAACCGTTACTTTCCATCATTTCCAGTGGATACATGCAGCACTAACACAGCAGCCAAGAGAAATAACGTTTCAGAAAAGAGTACCCCAAAAAACTCTTAATAAGTTGCCATGTCAGAGAGACACAGCAATAACATGGGAACTGCCACATTTCCTGAGACTTGGCAGAGCTGCTTCATGTCCCAGCTCTGCTGCAAGCTTCCTGAGTGATCTCACCCAGTCACTTATTCATCTGCACGAGACAGGAAGGCACACCAGACCTTCCCGCGGAAGCTAAAACTGGGAGGATTCTCATTTCTTATGGCAAATGGAGCTGTGTGAGCCCCAAAGACAAAATAATTTCTTCTGGACCCTGCCACTCAAAATCCTGCCAGACCATAGCAGAGATTTGAAGCATCCTACAACAAATAGTCATACAGCGGGGGGAAAAAAAAAAAAAAAAAATGAAATAGAGACTTAATTCTCTTACAATTATCAGCTCTGAGTTTGTAAACTGGAGGCCAGTATCAGCTCTTCAGCATCTGTGTTCTTCTAGCACACTTCTCTCTGGAGCTCAGTGGGTAGAGCACTACATTGTAACTATATTGCACTGGGCGCTTCACTGCCAAAAATCGCAAAATAACTAGTGTTTTCCAAAAAGACATGCTGCTTGGACTCCTTTGGGAAAGGCAGCATTTTAACTGACTTCAGTAAGCTGAAGATGTTAATTCCACATCCAAAAGAGCTGCTATTCTTGGCATTACAGACCGTCCCTCTTCTGCTGAAGAAGCTAAAGGTCACACAAAGCTCTGACACAAGAGATGCTTAAGGTACTTCTGCAGGACTGGAAAGGTTTTTGTGAGCTGTAAACCGTGCATGTTCCCATTGCGGTACATTTCAGAAGTTTACACACATGCAGAATTAACCAGAACAGAAATGCCAGATGTAGGCGTCTCTTTCTGTCATGCCATTACCTGTGCCAGAGGAATTTCCCAACTTGCGCAGTTTTCCCAGGACCTTCTGGACATCCCGTATGCTCGTATCCTGTTGGCTGTACAAAAGTAACCTCTTGGCATCTGAGAACAGGCGGGAAACACTGGTGACGGGAAAACACAAAAACAACCAGAAGTCACCAGCTCTGTGAGCCAGCATCCATAGATACAGTTTCACCTCCCAATTCCAAACTGCACTCCCTGCCAGTTATACCACTGCCCTCTCCAGTACAATAAGCCCTTTCTCCAATGACCACCCCCAGACAATCAAAGGAGCCCAGTAAAAGATGGCTGCTAATGCAAGGTCAAATAAAGTTACATCGGGAAAACCTCCATGCATTTGAAAGCATTTACTTAAGATGCGGATGGAGGGGGGCTCCTGCTGCTTGTAAACTGCTTCCTCTTAGAAGCACAGTAATTTAAGTATGTCCTTGCTCCTTTCAAATGCTCCTACAAGTTGCAGACACATTTTACTCCGCATTAAGCCTAGCTGGCCTAGCAGTATGAGCGCAGCAAGCCAGGCAGGGTGTAAGGAAGCTGCCCATAAATTAAGCGTTCTGAAACACATTAGCCAGCAATAAGTGACAAATGTCAGGGAGTATCTCCCTGACTTGCTCTTTAACAGCCTTGCTCTACACTGTCCATCTCAGAGGCTCATTAACCAAGGAAAGAGGCCCTCTGAAAAAAGAGTTTGTGTCTTGCCTTTTTATGGGCCAAATTCCAAGCAACTGATAAGAGAATGGACTTAGTGCTTACCCAGAGGTAAGACGGAGCTTTTCATTCACCAAGAGCTTCAACTGCTTGGACCCAGGGACACTGCACACATACCAGCCCCTAGCTAAGCCCCCCTGAACTTGGTAGCAAGCTTGGTACCTCAGTGGCAACAGGAACAGCAAAACCCTTGATTGTGTAAGGTTACACAGCTAGCTGGCTTCTCTACATGTTCCTCCAAGAACAGAGGTGAGGAAAAAGCAGGCAGACTCACATGGAGGCATTGAAGTTCCCAACAACACCAGGAGATTCCCCAGGAGTCGGGTAGCGGAAACAAGGGTTGTTGGCATTGCAGATGATCCCCTGTATCCATGGCAAGGTTCCTGC